TCTGCAAACTGCCGCTGCATTTGATTCAGGTCTGCAAATGCGTCCTGCGTCATTTGCATTGAGCGGTCTTGAAGCCGCTTGTCCAGGCGGCGGTTGATACTGGGAGGGCCTCCTTGCTTGGTGGCAGGCTCGGAGGGTGCAGCGCTGGCCTCTGCCTGTGGCCCTGGTGCCCAAACTGCTGGCATTGGGAATGGTGTGTAGTATTGTTGGGGCATTGTGTTTGGAGGATGCGCTGGAGGTGGTGGGACAAAGGCGAATGCGGCCTGCAGGCCTGGTGCTCCAGGCTGCAGCGGTGCCGATGGAGATGGCCCCTGGTTGTGAACAGCCTCTGGCCATGCTGCCTGGGGTGTGGGGCTGCTGGCCTGCTGGCCTGGTGCTCCAGGCTGTAGAAGTGGTGCCGATGGACATGGCCCCTGGTTGTGAACAGCCTGTGGCCATGCCGCCTGGGTTGTGGGCCTGCTGGCCTGCTGGCCTGCTGCCCAAGCCTGCTGAAGTGGAGCAGCTGGAGCTGTTGCCCCCTGGTTGTGAAGGCCTGCTTGTCCTGCTGCCTTTGGTGTCTGGCCAGCTGGGTGCTGTTGTGGGCCGGGTTGGCTCTGCTGCTGCCGCTGTGGCTCCTGCACTTGGTCTGGTGGCGTTTGCTGCTGCGGCTTTCGCGGTGGATTGCTTGGCTCTGGTGGCCGCATTTCACTTGATGGCTTGCTTGCACCTGGCCTGCTCCCTGAAGCAATTACTGTAGGTGGCGGTTGTTGCGGCGCTTCTTGTGGCCGTGCTTTTGCTTGGATCTTTGGCTTTGCCCCTTGCTTACTAGCCATTGCCACGCTTAGCAAATCAAGCGCCAGGAGGCGGCAACAACGCTTACTTGAGCAAGTGCTGCAGACATACATTGACATGTCTAAGTGAAATTCGGGAATGCAAGATTGGCATTCTGACTGTTCATGGCTGCATCCAAGGCTCATTGGGCACAGCCGCAGCGGCATAGGGGCGGCGAAAGGCAAGAAGGGTGGCCCTGAGGCAAGTGGCTTACCAAGCAAAGCCACGCCAGGGTGTGGTGATGTGTGTGTGGACCATGCCAAAGGTGTTAAAGGCAATCATAGACTGGAACAATTCAACTCCCAGGGCAGGGTAAGGCAGGGTCAGGCAGTTTGTTGAGGGGGTGCTTGAACATTTCAACTCTCATTGGATGATGCTGGCGCGCCCCCAAGCGCTAACCTTGAAAGTCAGAAGTGAAGGGTGAAGGGGCAGAAGTGCACATTGCGAATGTCCTACTTTCCTGCAAGCACTCTTAAAGGCTGGGAGTCAGAGTTCCTGAGGGTGGAAGTTTGAGCGTTGCTGAATTGAAAAAATTGAAGTGGCCCTGAGGCCAATCGTTTGCACAGTTGACAAATGGTTTAAGGCCCCCATGACAAACAGATGTGCACCCGTCAAAAGCAAATTGGCAAACTGCAAGGAACCGTTTGAGCACTGAGTGAGGAGGGGGTGATTGCACAACGGGGGGCAACCATGACTTGCTCAGCACCGCCTCGATGTACATAGTGCTAGGTCTTGTTTGCAGGCTGGCAGGCCTGCGCTGGTGGGGGGAGGGTGAACAGCCACACTGGGAGGAGCCACTTGTTCAGTGGCATTAGCAGCACTTGTTCAGTGCTGCCCCGCCTGGTTGGTTGGGTCTTGAGAATGAAGTGGGCAACCTGCAGGCCTGCAGGCCTGCGCCCTGTCAAATCTTGCCCATGGGACCCTTCAAGAACATGGGAGCAATGCACTGGGGGGCAATTCTGGGGAGGGGGCACTTGAACTGATTCAGTGCAGGGAGGGGCCACTTGTTTAGTGGCAGTAGCAGCACTTGTTCAGCGCTGCCCCGCCTTGTAGTTGGGCCAGTGCCCTGTCAAGTGCTATACAACGCAACGTGAAATGCAAACACCAAGATCAACACAGGGGGCAGGCGCTTGTGCAGCGCATTGCTGCACTGTTGCAGTGCAGGGAGGGGCCACTTGTTCAGTGGCATTAGCAGCACTTGTTCAGTGCTGCCCCGTTTTGATGCAGCATGAAGTTGTTGCAGGCCTGCAGGCCTGACACCCAAGTGTGCACAGGAGGGGGAGGGGGCACTGGGCACTTGCGCAGCGCCTTGCTGCACTGATGCAGTGCAGGCAGAGGCTACTTGTTCAGTGGCATTAGCAGCAGCACTTGTTCATTGCTGCCCCGCCTCGACATTTGGGCCTGCAGCAAAAAGTTGATGCAGGCCCGCAGGCCTGCATCCTTTCAAATCCTGCTCATGAGAGTCTGAAAGTTTGCATGTCTGAAAGGCAAACGGCAGCAACTGACAGCAACACAGGGGGAGGGTGCAGTTCAAGAGTGCCACACACAGTGCACTGATTCAATGCAGGGAGGGGCCACTTGTTCAGTGGCATTAGCAGCACTTGTTCAGTGCTGCCCCGCCGTGATGTTTGGGCTTGCAGCTTAGAGTTGATGCAGGCCTGCAGGCCTACATCCATTCAAACCCCGCCCATGGGAATCTGAAAGGCACACAACATGAGAGCAACACAGGGGGAGGGTGCAGTTGAAGACTGCCACAGTGCGTTGATTCAGTGCAGGGAGGGTCCACTTGTTCAGTGGCGTTAGCAGCACTTGTTCAGTGCTGCCCCGTGATGTTGGGGCCTGTTGTTTAGAGTTGACGCAGGCCTGCAGGCCTGCTCCCTTTCAAATTCTGCACATGGGATCTGAAAAAAAACAGACTCTCAGAGCAACACAGGGGGAGGGGCACTTGAACAATGCCACGCTGCACTTATTCAGCGTAGGAAGGGGCCACTTGTTCAGTGGCATTAGCAGCACTTGTTCAGCGCTGCCCTGCCTTGATGTTTGGCCATGGGGCTTGCAGCTTAGGGTCGATGCAGGCCTGCAGGCCTACATCCATTCAAATCCTGCATATGGGAATCTGAAAGGCAAAAAAACAGAGCAACAAAGGGGGGAGGGTGCACTTGACACATTAAACAGTGGCACACTGCACGGATTCATTGCAGGGAGGGTCCACTTGTTCAGTGGCATTAGCAGCACTTGTTCAGTGCTGCCCCGCCTTGATGTTTGGGCTTGCAGCTTAGAGTTGATGCAGGCCTGCAGGCCTACATCCATTCAAACCCTGCCCATGCGAATCTGAAAGGCAAACAACATGAGAGCAACACAGGGGGAGGGTGCAGTTGAAGACTGCCACAGTGCATTGATTCAATGCAGGGAGGGGCCACTTGTTCAGTGGCATGAGCAGCACTTGTTCAGCGCTGCCCCACCTTGATGTTGGGGCCTGCTGTTTAGAGTTGATGCAGGCCTGCAGGCCTGCACGCTTTCAGATTCTGCACATGGGGATCCTGAAAAAAGAGACTCTCAGAGCAACACAGGGGGAGGGGCACTTGAACAATGCCACACTGCACTTATTCAGCGAAGGAAGGGGCCACTTGTTCAGTGGCAAATTAGCAGTGTTCAGTGCTGCCCTGCCTTGATGTTTGGCCATGAGGCTTGCAGCTTAAAGTCGATGCAGGCCTGCAGGCCTACATCCATTCAAATCCTGCATATGAGAATCTGAAAGGCAAAAAAAACCGAGCAGCAAAGAGGAGGCTGAACTTGACACACTGCACTGGTTCTGCGCAGGGAGGGGCCACTTTTTCAGTGGCACTAGCAGCACTTGTTCAGTGCTGCCCCGCCTTGATGTTTGGGCCTGCAGCTTTGAGTTGATGCAGGCCTGCAGGCCTGCATCCTTTCAGATCCTGCCCATGGGAATCTGAAAGGCCAAAACAAACAGAGCAACAAAGGGGGAAGGCTGAACTTGACACACTGCACTGGTTCTGTGCAGGGAGGGGCCACTTGTTCAGTGGCACTAGCAGCACTTGTTCAGTGCTGCCCCGCCTTGATGTTTGGGCCTGCAGCTTTGAGTTGATGCAGGCCTGCAGGCCTGCATCCTTTCAGATCCTGCCCATGGGAATCTGAAAGGCTCAAAATAACAGAGCAACAAAGGGGGAAGGCTGAACTTGCCACACTGCACTGGTTTTGTGCAGGGAGGGGCCACTTGTTCAGTGGCACTAGCAGCACTTGTTCAGTGCTGCCCCGCCTTGATGTTTGGGCCTGCAGCTTTGAGTTGATGCAGGCCTGCAGGCCTGCATCCTTGCTCCTGCCCATGGGAATCTGAAAGGCCAAAAAAACAGAGCAACAGAGGGGGAAGGCTGAACTTGACACAGTGCACTGGTTCTGTGCAGGAAGGGGCCACTTGTTCAGTGGCACTAGCAGCACTTGTTCAGTGCTGCCCCGCCTTGATGTTTGGGCCTGCAGCTTTGAGTTGATGCAGGCCTGCAGGCCTGCATCCTTTCAGCTCCTGCCCATGGGAATCTGAAAGGCAAAAAAACAGAGCAACAGAGGGGGAAGGCTGAACTTGCCACAGTGCACTGGTTCTGTGCAGGGAGGGGCCACTTGTTCAGTGGCACTAGCAGCACTTGTTCAGTGCTGCCCCGCCTTGATGTTTGGGCCTTCAGCATGGAGTCGGTGTAGATGATGCTAGCAGGTACCCTCACCCAGATTGCCCGCACATTTGCTACCCATGCCATATCCACAGCACATCCACACCAGCAATTTTTTGTATTTAAGATTGCTGCTCTGTGTATTTAAGTTAGCTTTTGGACACTTTCCCCTCAATGGTCCCCCCGTGAAAAAACCAATCGATGGTTTCCTTTTGATTGCCACAAAGACCCAAACGCAGCACCAAGCCCTGAGGTTCAAACCACCATTAAAACCACGGGGGGCTAAAGTATAACCCCCAGTATGTACCTTCAGAATGGAACCATTCTTTTGATGAAACCAAGAAACCCCCAAGGTTCCAATGGTATCCTTCCGGCCCTGGTATCCTTCCAGGGCCCCAAGTATGTGGTATTGATGGACCCAGAAGGATACATTTGGCCTGTGTTTGTGTGTTTGGGGTGCCCCTTGCGTTGGTTTAAACCGTTAAAAGGAGCCGCTTGGAGGCCCAGGGCCTGGTGCGCCAGCTCCGCCGTGCCCACCAGCACCACGCCGTCCGGGGGCCGCTGGCGCCACTCCGTCCACGCCAGCTGCTGCCACCAGTCCGGCTGCTCCGCACGAGCGCCTGGCGGGCGACAAGGATTGAAGGGAAGCGGCCCACCTCGAAAAATAGCTGGGTTTCGGATGTTTTTCGTGGCTTCCTACGGGAAACTGTCAGGGTTTGCCTGGTCCCTTCAAACACCAACACCCGCCCCAGCCCCTTTTGCTGATGGGGGGGGAGGAGGGGCTGGTTTCCCAAGAGGCGAAGTGGTTGGGACATTCTTAGCAAGGGGGTTGATTTGTTCAGGGTGGCCATCATGTTTTGGAGAATAGTTCGAACCCAGTGATACCAAGCCATCCCCAAAACTTCTTGATCTTCAAGGGGATGCCCTTGCTATCACAGAAAGTGGCAGCACAAAGCCCTAGATTCCACAACCAAGGGAGATGAAACGATCAAGCAACCAGGGTTCCGATCCAGACCGCCAATCAAGGATTGCCATGGTTTCAATCACCTATATGAGGGCCTGGTTGAAACACCCTAGGGGATCCTGTCCTGCCGACCCCAGCGATATGTTGTTTGGAACTGACCAGAACCCAAAAAGTAAAAACTTGAAGTCAAAACCCGACTTTGGGGGCTGGGGTGCAGATGGAGAAAGAGGCTATGGTGGTTTGAGGGAGGCTTTGTTGGGAGCCTTGAATTGGCGCCTGTTCTCTCAGGCCTTTGGAGCCCCAAAGGGGGAGACTGATGGACATTCAAGCCGGATGTCTGATTGCCAATCGGGCAGTGCAACAGATGCAATGCTTCGAACGCCTTCATGCAAAACTCCAAAGGACCGTCTGCACGCGTCTCTACATTCGCCTCGGCCTCGAGGTCAGATCCTCAACTAGAACTTTGTGATCTTCAGACGGCCCACAGACTCAGCCACTCAGTCCCAGCTTCTCGCAGGCCAGGCACGGCAGCCCCAGGGTCCCATGGCGGGAAATCACCCATAACCTGTGGCCATGTTGGGTAAAAATCATCAGGAAGCCCCTTGTGGGTTCCATGGCCACCAATCAGGGGGGTTATTGTCGCCATCCCTTTGGCCTTTGACGCATCCCAGCTTAGGTTTGAACCACCCCGGCACTACAATAGGAGCAAGTTGGTGGTCTTTCTTCCCTTACCAACCTGAAACAAAGTCGTTGGACCAACCTTTCAACCACCTTACCAATCAAACCTTTTGGACCAAAACCCACCGGCCATTTTCTCCGGCCATTGGGCCTTGCAAGGCCGCCGCCCGCACCAGCAGCGGCACCGCGTAGGCCAGCGTCTTGCCGCAGCCCGGCTCCGCGACGGCCACCAGGTCCCGGTTGGTCCTCGCGCTTTTCGGCCCCGTTGAAGGGGGGGGAAAGGGGGATAGGGATCAGGGTCTTCCTTTTGCGCGTTCTGAGGATTGGCTGAGAAGGACACGAAAAGGCCGAGCTTTTATTAGAGATTCCACCTCTTCATCCAAACAACCACCTGTTTTACTCTGAATTAGCTGGTGAAAGTGATAAGTTGCAAACTTGAACGTATCCTTCAAGGGACCCGACCAAATACGTCTAATTGGGCACCTCAGGCGACAGGGAGAAGCGAGCTTGAAGCCTGGGCACATGACGACATTGGCATCATCTTGCCTTTCCATTGGCTTGGATCGGCCAGGGGGTTTGAACTGCCGTCAAATACACGACACCCACACACGCGTGGGCACGCGCGCAAGCGGCGCCAAAACCGACACGCCGGCATGCAAACATCCAGAGACAAAACACAAATCAACATACAGAGACACAGAGCGAGACACACTGAGACACGCCAAGCACACAGAGACACACAACTTCTGCTCGCCAAAACGGTCTTCTTAAGCATCAAGTCCAGCACCTCTTGTGTTGAATGACTCCAAACATTGAGCACAGCAACCAAAAACACAACATCCAAGAAAGTCGGGCAACTGTGGCTATTTTTTGAGGATGTGTCTTCTTGTATTATTATTATTATCATTATTAATATTATTATTATTATCATTATTATTGTTATTGCTATTATGATGAATATTATTGATATTATGTTTTTATATTTTTTGGGAAACCAAAAAGGTTTCAACGCCATGGGGACTCCCAGACTCCCCGAATTCTTGCGCTCCATCCACATACCCTCTCCTCAGCGCCGGCCAGGCGACTGCCTGGAGCGGGGTGGGCTCTCCGAAGCGGCCGAGCTGCGCCCGCATCCAATCCGGGAGGCAGGCGTCCAGCAGGGTGGTGGTCGGGCCAAAACGACACCCGCCGTCCTGAAAGGAAATGAAAATGGAAAACCATGGGCGCAGGTCCCTTTGGAGGTGGACCCGTGCGCCAAAAAGAAAAGGGTCGAGATTTAATTTGGGATTTTTTGTTTTATTTTGGGATTTGTTCCGTCCTGGCTACTAAAATGCTGTAATTTACAGCATGTTCTCGCGACATGTCCGTATTTTACGTTAGTCCGTCAACATCATCAGCATCGTTTTCAACATCCCCCGCATGTCCAGTTAACATCCCCAGCATCACCAGCAAATCGAGGGCCTTGGCTTCCTACATCTTCAGCATCAGTTCCTCTCCGGCAATTTATGTATGCATATTAAAAAAAGGGGCGGGTCCCTGTCATAATGGTAAAAGTGAGGATTCAAATACGGGCAAACTACTCCCTGTAAAACACCTAAAACGTAGCTGGGGGGTTGGGGGCGCGGGGGGGGGGGGCAGCCCCCTCCATGATGATTGAAAAAGTGATGATTCAATTAGGGCCAAAAACATATATATATATAATAAAAAAAGCAGCGGGGTGGGGTTGGGCCCCCCCATGATGATCGAAAAAGTGATGATTGAATTAGGGGCAAAAAGTCTAAAAAGTCGCGGGGGGGTCGGGGGGGGCGGCAGCCCCCCCCCATGATGATCCAAAAAGTAATTACTCGGGCCCAAAAAAAATAAAAATGCAGCGGGGGGGGTTGGGGGGGGCAGCAGCGAAAATGTGATGTTTCAATTGGGGTCAAAGAATCTAAAAAGTAGCTGTCGCATGATGATCGAAAAAGTGATGATTCAATTAGGCGTGCATTTTAATCGAAAGGGGGGTGGCGGGGGGAACCGGACCAGAGAGGAACTGATGCAGGAAGCCAAGGCCAAAAAGCAGAGGATGCGAAGCCAAAGCCAGAAAGCCGCCAAAAGCCACAAAGCCAAAAAGCCACCTGCCGCAGCGGAACTGGCAATGCAGAGGATGCGAAAAGCCAAAGCCGCAAAAGCCGCATGAACCCACAAAGACGAACAGAGAGGAACTGTGAATGCAGAGGATGCAAAATGAAAAGCCACAAAAACCCACGTAAAAGTGCAGCGGCAATTTGGGCTCCCCTTTTCTCTCCTATTCTAATCCTACAAAAGGGCTTTGGTTAGTGAAACAAACAACATGCTACAAGACCCCTACATAGCAACACGCCTCTCGAGGGACACCGACTTTTAGTCAGTTTCCCGAGCGCAGGGTCTAAAGGCGGCTCAAGCCCTTCAGACGTCGAGCGCAAGATGTTGTTTGCCATCTGCGAAGTGGTAGTTCATGCGCTCGAGTAGCATTCGAACTCTGGCTTGATCCAGCAGCTTGGTAAGCATATCGGCAAGCATGTCCGCCGTTGGTTTCGTTTTCAAGGAAATTCGTCCACTGCTGACGGCATCTTGAGTCCACAGGAAGACCGTGTCTATGTGTTTTACGCGTCCAAGGCCATGCCTTGAAGCCATAGACAGCCCTGTGTTGGAGTCCATCCAGCAGTGAAGCGGAAGCCAAAGGCCCCAGTCCTTGAGGACCGATTGCTCACCAAGAGCATTGCATGAGGCAGACACCAAACAATAATATTCTGCCTCTCCGCTGCTCAATGCAATCACCGCTTGGCTCTTGCAGCTTGTCTTGGTCGTAGAAGCTCCAAGTCTTACGCAGAATCCGCTTGCGCTCTTTCGTGTTCGAAGACACCCTGCGTGATCTGAGTCTGTCCACACGTCCAGGTGAGACACAGACTGTTGGTTCGGGAACAGATGGATCAGTCTCGGTCGGTTTCGCAGATACCGAGCTCCCCGTTTTAGGATCATCCAGTGCGCGGTAGTAGGACATTTGAGTCCTTTTGCCAGCTTTGGCAAGCACCTGCAAGTCGGGTCAGCCTCACGCTCACTGACCGGTACCGCGACACCTCTTCGTGATCAAGAGGCTCAGCTGGCTTGGATGGCAGAATGCGTGAACTTCCCCGTGGCCAGTGTCTGCCCACTTCTGGGCGGACGCCAGGAGGCGTATCCTTGTCGAGCTTCCAGCTAAGCACGGAGTTGACACCCAGAAATTTGTCGGGTTGTGGAACAAGAGACGCCCCATCGAATTGGGAGGCGGCCATTCTGCGTGTCATGAGCCAGCTGGGCTTCGCACAGGGCCGTTCCAAGCTGCTTGTATTTTCACGCAGCGAAGGGGCTGCGGGTGGAGGTCCATGGCGATTATTTTACCTGTCTAGGATCCAAGATCCACATTAATTGTTCGCAAAGGAGCTGGGGAAACACGGGGATACCTTGGACTGCCAGGAATGCAAGGAACTCAACAGAGCATAGACATCCAGGAGCCCGGCGAGTGGTCGCCAAAGCGAACAAAGTGCGCAAGGCACTGATTGGCGGCATGGATGCGTAAAAGTTCTCCCAGCTCGGAGTGTGAGGATCCGTTGTGAGATCTCTTTTTCAGCTCGCGGGCTGCTATTCGGCTACGGTACTTGGGGCATTTCTCGTCCCGCTTGTTCACATCTACCCAACGAGTAGAAATCCCCCTCTCGTTTTTGGGGCGAGGAATGACTTCCCATACGCCCATCTCGTTGACGGTGGCAATCTCCTCCGCGCGAGCAGCCTGCACAAGGTCAGGTCGCAATGGGTTTCCTGAGATGTCATCCCAGTACGAAGTCTCGAAGTCTTCATACTGCTTGGTGTCGAAGTTCTCTTCGCACACAGGATGCTCTTCTCCTGCCACGGAATTCAGAAACCCAGTCCTTAGGGACAGAAGAAAGTTGGTGACCATCTCATCTTCACCTTCGTGCGGTCTCTTTCGGGATGAAGACGATGGGTCGGAGACCTCCATGCCCTCTGGCACAGCATGGGGTTCTTCAGCTTGGACCCTTGCCTTCTTAATGCTCGCTTCTCGCGGCTTCTTGGCCGGTTGCGCCTCCTGAGTGCTCGGCTCCTCGGTCTCCCGCTTTAAAGCAGCAGACGCCTCTTTGCCAGGACCTGGCGCCGAAACGGCGCTCCGATCCACAGGCTCCAGATCTGCAGTCTTTTTGAACCTCTTTGGCGGGTCCTTGCGCCTTGCAGCTTCCAAGCGCTTCTTTCCTTCCTCGGAGTTCCCCAGCTGTTCTACCACTCGAGCGCGGCAGAACTCCGTGTGAGGAACACCCTCACGTGAAACTCCGGCGCGGATGAAACCACACGCTGGACATGAGGCAGTGTAGCCATGCACTTCCAGATCCGCTTGACGGATGTACACACGTCTCAAGACCTCTTTCCTGTCTGCCGCAGCTTGCTTGCACGTCTGGCAGCTCTGGTTCGACCGACACTGATTCAGCCAGTTCTTCAGCTTCTTCTGGCCGCGCAGTTCGACCGGGAACTGGCGCCCACGGCGTCCCTTTCACCTTTGCAAACAGCTCGGAATCCCATTGGAACTCTTTCGGCTTCCTCCGGACCGACTGCGCAACCACAATGCCATTCTGGGTGGCAATGATCTTCTCTGTAGTGTTGAGTCTGACACCACAGAAGATCCCGGTTGCCCATCTTGCTGCTAGCTTGTGCTTCGTGCGCACTCTGTAGTCCACTGCTTCACCCCACGGACACTTGCCAGTCACGGCCCTTCAGTCTCCGAAACGGAGTGAGGCCATCTTTCATGGCATCATCGTGGGCAAACAGCGTGTACATGTCGCCCATGTTCGATCAACCAAGCCAACATTGGTGACTTGGGGTCAATGGCCTTTCCCATTCCAGTCTCGCAGGCGTCCTTGTAGGTTCGGCACAGCCGCTGGGTAATCTCAACAGCCGCCTCGGCTTCAGCGTTGGATTTCCCATGATGGTCCCTTGGGAGAGTTCTCCAACTGCACCCGCACATTCGAAGTGGCAAATGCGTTCTTAGCGGCTTCTGCCACCGCTTTGATAGCTGGCTCCTGGTCACTTTTGATGACCACGCTTGGATACCCTAGCAACTTCACATCGCGACACAAAGCCTGCTCAGGGTAGAAGCGCTCCACGCCTTTTGACGGCACCAGGTGCGTGAACAACGCCTTGCTCTTGCGGTCTCTTACCTTACCACAAGGACAGGCATTCGAGCGCCACCCACGGCGTCAGAAGGAAGTTGCCCTGGGGTTCCAAAGAACCCATAGTCTATGCTGATCACTGGACTGGGATTTCCTCAGGGTCATCGGGCCGAGCCACTCGGCGATGGGCATAGCTTTTGCCTCTGCCCCGCACGCAGTGGGAGCACCACGCCCTAAAGGGGATGTGGCTCACCGAATGAGCTTCTATCTCCTTGGGACTAGGCAGACAGGGCGACCTTAGTGGCTTTGCTGCCCTGCCTTCCTCTGCTTCTTCGGCAGGCTGTCCTTCTCCGGCAACACCCTCGAAGGCTGAAGCAGCTCTCGGCCTCTTTGGCATTGGGCCTTACAGGCGCTTGCGGCCCTGCCCCTTGAAAGGGCTGGACTCGAAAGCCATACTTGAGCCATCCAACCACACCCCGTTCCTCGACAAAACCACCTTGTTTCCTTGGTTAACCATTTGGCCCACAGAGAGTAGGGGTTGCGACATTCGCACGTCCATCACCTCTTGGCCCATCAGCCAAGCCCTTGCAGTCAATGTGCCCTCATTAGGCGGCAAGCTTGAAGCTATGGTACCCTGTGTCCCCTACCAACTTTTTAGGGATAGTTGTGGCACTGGCCCCCGAGTCTATGACGAAGTCAACTCTTACCCAACCAGGGAATTTGCCTTCGCCCGTGGTGGCGCAGCCCTCGCCCGAAAAAGCTTTCGGCGTTGCTCCCTGCATCTCTCCCGCTTCTCTTGCTGGCCACTGTTGTTGGCCGAGCTGAAGGTGGCAAGGTCATGCTGCGACTTACCATCGGCGGCGGCTCCAAGAAGTCAGCATCCTCTTCTTCTACCAAAGACTTCCGAGCCTTCTTTGACAAAGGCCCTCCATCTCATCCTGGAGCACGCCTTGGGCCAAAGGAAACACTGGCACCTTTCTACCCGCCTCCAGGGTTGACTCCAAGTCCCTCTGCACCCT